CCCCAAAACCCCAAAACCCCAAAACCCCAAAACCCCAAAACCCCATTAAAGTCATGAGCATTGAATTATTGAGGATTATTTTCTAAATATCCTTCAGCCATCATACATTCTTAATATTCTTTAACTAAAAGCAAGAAGTCTCAATATCCTCAAGAACTTCTTCAATGTCTGGATAAATCTGATATGAGTGTAGTTGTTACATCTTTCAAGTGCTTCTTCACTTGCATTATTCTGAAGGGTTAAGCTAAGCAAGACGTGGGTCTCATTCCCTTCAGGAATATTGACTTTCCTGTCATAGTTTTCATCAGTATCAATGCAATCAGCGAAGCTGCATTTATTTCTCCACCACATGATGTATCTCCAGTCTGGTTCATAATCTTCGAAGAACTCTCTATCATATTCTAGGTTTTCTCTGATCTTAACAACAATGTTATCTTTTAAGGATGGGTTACGGTTCCACTTTGCTGATCTGAATGCATAGGCATTAACTGAGGAAACGACATCCCAAATTGCTCTTTCTTCAGCATTCTTGTCCTTTTTAGCTAAGCCTGCAAGCTTAAAATCTTCATCATTTGGAACAAGGAGGATTCCTGAGTTCATTAATTCATTGAGAAGGATGCCTGGGGACATGTCCTTGTCAACTAGTCTTTGTAATTCCGGCTCTTTTTGCTCAATGAGTTTACAATAATCCGCACCAATTTCGAAAACTAGGTTGATTCTCTTTGTTTGAATATCTAACAAGGCTACATCTGGCTGAATTCATCTTAACTTCCATGAAGCATATGGGAAATCAGTACATCTTGGCTGGAGATACGCAAATGGGGCTAGTTGGAGAGTTTTGAAAGAAACCTCTCTGGTGGTTTTGTTAATTTTGACCTCTTCAAGATTCTCGAGTTGCCATTCTTTGGCTTCTTCATTCCACCATCCTACTTCAACATCTTCTCTACCTTCGTCAATCCAAACGTATTCTGGAATTGTGAATGCGACAGTGATAGGTTCAATGTTTCCAGCTGAATCCGGGAAATTCTTCTTTTTCAAAGTATCCTCCATATCTTGAATGTTCCTAATAATCCAACTTCTGTGTTTCTTTGGCATTTCAGGTAAGGGAAAGATTTCTATGTTCAAAACTCCTCCTACTGCAAGGTAGGGGCTTTGCTCAGATGCAGTAATATCATTAGAAACCCAAACTGATCTCTGGAGGTTAAACTGTTTACAGAAGATTCTAGGAACTTCGTTACTGATGCCTAAAGATTCATGCTTAAGCATCTCAGTCCCAGAGAAATTAGAATGGTTTCCTCTGATTCCCATCTTGAAGTATTCATTATTAGCTTCAAGCTCAAATTGGTCTCTGATGTTTTCAATCTTTTTGCTTGTCATTTTCTTCTTTTCTTCTTCAGTGTACAACAGATATACTTCAATTTTCTCCATGATGTTTTGAGTAATCTGGTCAAATTTAAATTTTCACATTTGCTTCAGCTTATTGATGTAATTCGCTCACCAAATAATGTTTTCAGTCCTAAACTCTGCCATTGCATCAAAATGAAGAGTTAATAGTTTATGAATAACAAGTTCAGCAGTTTTACAGTTTTTAATGCATTCATTTAAGTCTTTATCCTTACTTTCTTCCCATAAAGTAAGGAAAGAAGATAGTTCTCGCTCATTCTCCGGATCTGGTAGGGGATCGCAGGCAATATGCTTATCCCACTCATCTCCTTCCTCCTTCATTTCTTCAGACTCCATCGTAAGTCTTGAAATAGCATTACTCCTCTCTATAACCTTTGGTTGCTCCTCTTGAAGCCTCGCTAGCTCTTCTTGCCTCAACTTCTCCTCCAACTCTCTCCTAATCCTATCTTCTTCCTCTTTCCTTTTCCTTTCCTCCTCATCTCTAATCCTCTGTTCTTCCTCTAACCTAAGTCTTTCCTCTTCAGCCTTCCTTTTCTCCTCTTCTTTCTGCTTCTTGGACTTCTTCTTGGGCATTTGAATTATATTTTAAATTATATTAATTTTCAGCTTTATCTCCTTTTGGAGGGGTTTTGGGGTTTTGGGGTTTTGGGGTTTTGGGGTTTTGGGG